AAATATGGTTTCCTTGGTGAAAATAGTTGAGGAATTATAATAACAGTATCTCTACCTTATCTAATAATAAGTTGCTTCTTTTAAATTTTCAAAGTGAATTTTCAAAAATTCAATGATAATTCTTCGGAACCATCTATATGGAATAAATTATTTTTGATGTATGACATGAATATTATCATGACTCGGGTCACTTTCATAATCGCCATCCTACGAACAAATGAATATTCATTGTTCAACCTCTGCTATGCAGAGTAACCAAAAGTCAAAGCAACAATGGATATTTCTTGAATAATTAATTAAGGCGTGTGCCAATCGCGGGACGTTTGCCATAGGTTCGTTACACCGATTCAATTCGATCGACTAGCAATCATAGTCGAGAAATATCGACTCGAAGTGGCCAGTAAATCCCATGAATATGTAAATATTATAATCATGTAATCCATTCGTCAGATCACCGACCGCCATGGGCGTATCCTGTCCATGAACACAGAGAGGCATACAATAAACAAAAGAACAAAGAAAGGAACACCATTTATTTAAAAAGAAATTAATTTTGAAAGAAATTCGCAGTTCATGTATTTTCTCATTTGTACCGCCTTACATCGTCGAGTGTTGTTTTTTTCTATCTGTTATTGTTTTGAAACAGTTATATCTGCGAGTAGAGGACATTACGTTGCAGATAGCTCGTTACATAATTCCACTTGATACAGATGCCGTCTAAATGATAATGTTGTAGTATACAATTTCCCTGGAAGTTGGCTGATAACGGTATTTGCATTCACTAGAATCTCTACTTCTAAGTAACAGCGTGATAATAAAATTCCTAACAGACACATGACGTTAAGAGACACCTGCTGAATTTATGGGAGGAACCGATAATTGGTACCACGAATCAGTCTCCTAAATATTCGTACCATCTGTATTTATTACAAGAATCAGTCTCAATGAAATGATAGGTTTGATGTTTCCAAATAAATGTATAATTATAAAAATATGTGTACTATTTATTCATGTACATGTTTATAACGAAACATTTAATTAGGAACTTCAAACCTATCATTTCATTTGGATTTTTTTCAATTGACATAGAGGGAACGAATATTTATGGGGCTGAATATATTTCCACTAAAAGAATGAGGCATTATTAATAATAAAGTGTAGGACACGTGCAGACATATTTTTTATCGTATGGCAAATTTAATTCTGTAAAGTATATTCCCGCCAAAACAATGAGGCATTATTAAAAATCCAGTGTATACATATTTCTTATCTTGTGGCAAATTTAATTCTGTAAAATAAATTTCTACCCAAAAAATAAAGAATTATTAAAAATCCACTATAGAAGACGTACAGACATATTTCTCATCTTATGACAAATTTAATTCTGTAAAATATATTCCCACCAAAACAATGAAGCATTATTAAAAATCCAGTATAAAACAGACATATTTCTCATCTTATGGCAAATTTAATTCAATAAAATATATTTCAACAAAAAAGCAACGCATCATTAAACATCAATTATAAAACAGAGAAAATCAAGCTAATTACAAATAGATCGACGATGCAACGAAATACTCTGGCAACGAAATATTCTGTGGGAATGCATCAATCTTCAGTCAAAAAATGCTCTTAACGTAAAAAATCCTCTCGGAATATTGTGGACTATCCCTGAATAGTACTTATAGTGTCAACCAAGCTGATAACAACAATACAAAAACGTTTCGAATACTACTCGTCACTTTTTCGCGCAGTTCCCGATATTAGGAAGGGGTTTGCTCTTGCACCTCTTCAGCCATCCGTCCCACGCCTTGAACCCCTCCTGATCGTAGATGATCTTCGCGCACGCGATGTCGTCCTGGATGTCGTCGTTGGTGAAGTCCTCGCAGCGCTTGTTGCAGAGTCCTCCGCGTCGTCCTCTGGTGCACCATTTGGAGCTGTTGATCTGAAGGATGCCGTAGCTGAAGCTGGAGGCTGTCTTCGGGCCAGTGACCAGCTGGGTGTTCAACCCACTCTCGCTCTGCATCAAGCACACCCAGTTGCTGATGAGGCTCCTCGAGATCCGAGCTCGTTGGAGCTCGCGAACGGCGTCGCACTCTGACAGAATCTTTGCGTTCACGTGGACGTCCATCGCGAGGATCAGGACAGCCAGCAGGCACAGTCTCACGCTTGATTTTCCCATCGATGAGCTTTATGATGTTGGACGTTGAAGAACGGGAAGTTGAAGACGTTTGAAGCTAATCGACGCAACCGCGACGAGGACTCGCGCCTAAGTGCGACGCTATTCACTGTCCGGCTGGTGCCGTCTGCTGCGTTTATGACGAACGACGGGAGCCTTGATCTTGGGCGATAAATTATCATTTCCTACGCGTTGGCGTGGCCAGTTGCGAGCTTCACGCTTATTGTTAGCCGGTTTTTCCTGTTAGGTTTCTTTCAGTTACGAGATTCCTTTGTTTTGTGGGTATTTTGCGGTGTATGGTATTGGGCGGGTGAAACAACTGTTTGAATGTTAATTATGGGTGTCAACATGTTTCGATTCTCGCTATGGGGAATTAAATTGAAGGCTGTCCACTTGTATATTTTGTATAACGTTTTAATCGTTCTGAAATTCATACTGAAGCGTTCATATTGATATTGAAACTGGTCAAAATGACTAACCATCAATTTATATTTGTGTGATGCATATTAAATATAATAGATGTATATCATACAAATATTGCATATGAAAATGTTTTGTGAAGTGTGATATTTTGTGAAACTAGTAAAAGTGACTTACCATCAATTTATAAATATAATATGAATATAATATAAAATTTATATTTAAATATTCAAAATACAATGGTATCGTGTATTTAATACGCTGTAATAGTGCAGTGATACTTAATGGATGAGTGTACTTTCCGAACTGAATATGTTGTGTAGAATTTTTATATGTGACGAATCAGTGAAAATGAAACTATTGATCGGTCTCGTGAGATGATAATTGCGAAGCGAGAGGCCTCGTTAAACTGACTCACAATCGGTAAGGTTGTTGCTCCTGCTTGGAATTCTTTTAAGGTAATAAGGCATACGATGTGTATACTTAGAATAAGTGGTTCCCTGTATACAATAATTACCCTAAAACTTAATTAATTTGTTAACCAAATGGGAGAAAAACTCGACTGTGGCGTGAGTAAAAAATAGAGGTACTAAACTGGGTATTCAAGAATTCCTTATTTCGAGTGTTTAATACGTGATGGGTGATGGAGAACGTTACGCGACACTGTGCACGTTCACTTTCTACACTAATTACTATGTAATATTTACAATTATGTACATTTGTGTGCAGACATTGCATAAATGCAATTGGTCGACGTACATTCTAGAGCAGGGGTTCTCAACGGGCACGATGTGGCCCAGCAGTAGGTCACGTTACATTTTTTGGGGACCACAAGCGAAAGACGAACAGAAATTTTATACTTTCGTACTATTTTATTTTAATTTACTGCATGTGTCATATTAACACGTTGAACGCCACGTAAAGTGTAGGGATTTTCACTGAGAAATTAAAAAATTAATTCTGAAGATCAGGTGTTAAAGAAATCAAGCCTGGATAGAATTCGTAAATTTTGACCAGGGTGCGAAAGTAATACTTTATCAAATTTTATAGAACCAAATTTTAACTACATAAATATTTTTATAATTGTGCCTGGCACTGGAAGTGTTAAGGTATGTATTGCATATCATTAATAAGTTATTTAGTGACCAACAACGATCACAAAATGTGGGGATTATAAACCAAAGAAAATTCAGAACGAAACATTGACTGAGAAACTCTGATCTAGAGGACACCTCTGAATTGCTATTATTGTGTAACAGGCTATTATTACCAGCGACTTTGCCCGCCTTGGATTTTTTAAGGAATTTCATTATTGAAATTAAAAGTAGACGGAGGCAACGTACTTATAAGAGCAAAGAAAAAGATCGTTGAATAAAGGAAGAGGAATGAATAAGGAAACCAGAGCGAAAAAAGAAAACTTACCCATAGTATTTTTCCTTCGCCATTTATTGCAGACGATGCTCGTCGAGCCAGACCGATCGCAGATTTTTGTAAAAGGAAATCGCCGGTTCGCGATGGGAAGCGAACGATGTCGAGGAAAGATTCGGTAGATATCAGTTAATTCCAATCGTCCATTAATTGGCAAGTTTCGACACGATCCATAAAGGGACCTTCAGCGGAACCTTATAAGTTGAAATGTACTTTCTAACTGCAAAAAATGCAGAAGGCATCGTGAATGTTTGCTACTAGAGACGAGGTCGAATTGAGTTATGAGAGAACTAGATAAACACTGCTGAGAGTCCAGGACTAGTCCGAGAATTTCTAAAGAACACTTGAAATATTATAAAAATATTTTGAGCAGAGAAAATAACTTCATATTTATTGGGCTGGTATACAAGGAAATATTTAAGGAAAAAATTTAAATTTTGCGGGAATTTCTTCCAGGTGTTATAAGTAACAACTCTGCAAAGTTTCAAATCATTTCATCAATTTTTACCAGAGTTATGAAAAGAAAATCGAAAAAATTCCATGCACCATTTAAAACTTTCAATGGCTTCTCGTGTTAATGTTAAAATTAAGAGATTAAATATTAAGAGGATAGATTTCGAAAATTCATCCTATAAAGATCCCCGAAAGATTACGTTTGCAGTGCTTCTTAAATTTTGTTTGTACTTTTATTAAATAAGCAAAACGTCGCGATAAGGTATCTGTAATTCTGTCGCATGATTCAAATGAGTTAATTATCGAGGGGAACCGTTGTCTGTAGGTGTAGCAATTGACGCAACGCGATTATTCAATAGAGAAATTTTATTCGGTATCCGATGAAATGTCGAAGCATCTTAGCGAGCGATCGAAATGCGAATTGCATAAACGATTATGCAAGCCGTTTGGGACTCGCCACATTTTCACAAGTGAACGCGCGTAGGTACAAATACGATAAAATAGGCAGTACGTAAAATTCACAAATAAAGATCTATACAAAGGCACGATAATATCACATGTACTTACACAACTGGTTCGATATAACCTTCTTAGGAGTATTGGCATCTTAAATCGACTTAAGTTACGCATCCACGCGTTCTTCCTATCGCGCGAAATTTTCCGTAACCTTTAAGCAGATTTTACGCGTCCCCAAAAATCGGAGACGTTGAGATAAACACGAAGTGTACGATGTATAATTCACCATAGAATGCATTATTCATTTATAAAAGGAGATAGTAGTAGGTGTACCTTTCGACGCGTAACGAAATGTATTTGGCGCTGGTATTTCTACATTAGTAGCAATCAGAAAGCAATACATCACATTCATAGCGCAAATAATGGTAATCTTTCGATACACAGGGTGCCAATAGCGAAAATATTTATCTAGACAGAAAATTGAAATTACTATTGTAAATAAAATAAAATAAAGATGTAAGAAATAGACTAAAATTTTGTTCATCACCAGCAATGAATTATTTTCTATTAATTGCTGGTTGAATGAAAATTGAAATTACTATTGTAAATAAAATAAAATAGAGATGTAAGAAATAGACTAAAATTTTGTTCATCACCAGCAATGAATTATTTTCTATTAATTGCTGGTTGAATGAAAATTGAAATTACTATTATAAATAAAATAAAATAGAGATGTAAGAAATAGACTAAAATTTTGTTCATCACCAGCAATGAATTATTTTCTATTAATTGCTGGTTGAATGAAAATTGAAATTACTATTATGAATAAAATAAAATGGAAACAGAAGAAATAGAATAAAATTTTGTGTATCTCACATTTTCCATTGTAAAGCACCCTGTGAATCGATAATAATATTCTTACAAAGGTAGCACAAACGTCGCTTACACGATTCGGGAACTTGTTATCCGTTCAATTAAATATGTTTCCGTTAGTCGTTAAATTAAATCTCAGGTTCTGTTTTATCCATACAGGAAATTGGTATTACGGTATTAAATTCATACGGAAATGGCTTTGGTGAATTCGCATGGATTTGTTAAATATCCGACACTTTCGCGTAAAAACGAGCCACGATCACACCGTGTATTTACACAAAATGTTCTAACTGAAAGACGTTCTTGGAGACGCACTTTCTACCTTAACACGTCGATTGCAGCTGTGTTTTTCGGACGAATGAGTTTTCGCACCCGCTACGAGACGATTTGTTTCTCTGTGAATAAATACTCGGCTTACAGTTTATTTTTTCAATTCTCAGTTCACGAATAAATATTCACTTTTCAATTCATTTCTTTCATTTACAATTTCTGAATGAATTCTCAACTTTCAATTGTCAATTGTTTATCTCTCATGATAAATTCATCTCATCGTGCTTTTTTTTTTAATAAAAATTACTTGATACCTTAGAGAACTTCAAAAAATGTCTTGCAAAACTCTTTGACATATCATTTTGAGTATTACTTGGTCAAATTTAAAATAAAAATAGAATTTCTTACAAAGAAGATAAAAAGAACATTTTCATGTAAAATTTAATACTCTTAAAGACTAATTAAGACATATTAAATAACGTTTAGAAATAACCAATATATATAGAAAAATACAATTCCAAAATATCAGAAATATTACAAATCTACAAGAGGTAACATTATACCTCTTTCATTAATTCATACTCCTTTATACAATTACAACTAAATTCATATTTTGCTAATTAATAGAAAAAATCTAAAAAATAAAAGATCACTGACTAGGATTGTAAGTGACAATTATGGGACGTACACAATTTTCTAAAGTTCTCTAAAACTGTTCTTAGTTATAGTTGATACTAAACGTGGCTTTTGGTTAGTATCAAATATACATGGTGATTCTATAGTCTGGACACATAGAGAATAAGAATATGATACCAGATATGAGACTTCTAATATTTACTGACGGTCCAGACTTTATGTACCCACTTGCATATCAAATAATTTAAAAAATATCAACTATTCCAATGTCCATTGATGTTTATTCACCTAACTGATGTTTATTCACCATTCAACATTTATTATTCCTCATTTACTCGTAGCTAGGGTCCAGTGACACGTCGCTAACAAGTCAACACGTTGTCACTGGAACGAAGTCACACGTTTAAAAGAAATCATCGTGAGCCAAACGAAAACAATCCCTCAACCAGCTGCATTCGTCAAGTTCGCTCTCCTGGCTTTGGCAAATCGCAGGATATTTGGATCCTCGTAGATAATTCTTGCCAGGGTCTCCATTCCCGCGTAAGTGTCAGCCTTGGTCCCCATGCACATGGCGAGTTGGGTGTCGGAGAGGTCCTTGCTGCACTCCACCTCGTGGTAAACGTGAACCAGATCCCTGTCGGCCGCCCTGAAGATCGTCACGTTGGACTTGACCACCTTCTCGAAGAAGTCTACGTCCTCCTTCCCCCATCCTCGAATGGACAGGTCGAAACCACCCACGGTGCGATAATCACGTTTGTACAAGGAAACGATACCGAATCCGAACTGTCTCCAATAACCAGAAGTCTCGTCCACGAGGAAAGTGTCGCGTCTCCTCCAGTCTTCGTGAACGATTCGTGGATCGTACTGGCTGAACACCACGGGGAAATAAATCTGTCTACCTAGCAAAGTGTTCGCTCGTATTCTGTAGAGAGCGGATTCCGTGAAGGCGATGTCCACGTCGACAAAGAACATCAAATCGTCGTTGTTCAGCTTCGAGACACCTAGATCGAGGGCCCTGGCTCTGGAGAACGTCCCAGCGATGGGTAAAATATCGATACCCGCGCCGCGGTGCTTGTACTTCAGTTGCTGAATCAGATCTATCGTTTGGTCGTAAGAGCTCTCCGTTTTATGATGGAAGAGAACGACTAGGAGCCTGGTCTTCTCGCCGTTCGTTAAACAGACCTCTTCGTAGTTTTGCAGGAACCGTTGGAAAACCTCGTACCTACCCGCCAAAGGCAGGACGAAGTGGATGGTTTTGTCCGTGACCGGATCCTCCGCTTCGAAGTTGAAATTCAGGTTCAGGAAACCACCGCTGAATATGTTCTGCAAGGACTTGTCGTTTCGTTGATCGCCTCGCGCCCCATCCTTTTCCACGCCGTTCACCGTTTCCCGTATTTCCAGTCCTGCGGGTAGATAAAAGTTTACGCTTGGTATATTTCATTTTAGTTTATTAGTTACACGTGCGCGCGTTATTGAGAATAAGTTAGCATGGGTGAGTTGTGATACCTTTCCTTGCATATGGATACATTTTGATATTCTGCATTTGAATGTTTCATAAGGATGTACAAATTGTGGAATGAAAAAGAATATTGAAGTTTGTAGAAATGAAGTGGAAGAGGATCAGCTAGGTTTCTAAAACAACTCAGTTTTTAATACAGGATTTAACACTTCCACAATTTTAAAAATAAAAATAAATCTTTGCAGTTCTTTTCAAATTTAATACTTAACAGTATTAAGTTGTATGCTTCGAATATCTAAAATATAAAAGAGCATTAAAGTCTGTAAATACAAAATGGAAGAGGTTGAGCTACTTTTCTATAACGATTCAGTTCCTAATTTATGATTTAAGTGTACATCTCCACTATTTTAAAAATAAATGCTTGTATTTCTTCTCAAATTTAATACTTGAAATCATTAGCTTGTACATCTTGAATATAATAAATTTCATGCAGTACAGCTTAGAAACATAAAAGTATTGCAAATAAAATTGGAAAGAAAAGCTTCAAGTCCTATCCGGAATAATCCACCAAGGCAACGGCTCTGAAGTGTTAAATTATGGGTCCGAAATGGGTTGGTAATAGACGAGGGGGACGTGAAAGACGCGAACAAGGAAAAGCATTTACTCAATCAGCTTCCAAGAGCGTGGAAGATCGTTTAGGAACGTAAAAGGTACCGGTGAAGTGTTGATGGAGATAAACGTGTCTCCTGACGGGCAGCGTAACCTTTCTGCCTCTGTACTTCCGGTACACCAATAGAAGATCCAGTATCGTGTCGGCGCCGTAAGAATCCACTCTCCTGTATCCGTACAGGGCTGACCTTTCCTCGACGACTCTGCCGCGCTGTCGTGAGCAGGCGTTTATGGAGGCCATCACTTCTCTGGTGATGTCCTCCAGACCCTCCCTTATGCCGCTGTGAATCCTTCTCCTGGGATTGGAATCCGCTAAGCTGTACTCCGACCTCGAGAGAAAGTCCCAGGGAATCACCTCGTCGCTGCTCGTGGGCTTGAACGACCGGAGTCCCGCTGGAACACCTGCAAAATTGATTTCAATTTCCGGTTCAGAGAGAAAATGGAGCTATTTTAATCGGCCTCGTTTGTACAATTTGTATAATAGTAACGAGACAAATGCAAGAATGATATACAAGCTCACTGTACAGATCGATTAACCTGTCGCATAAGAATTGCAACGTGACTGACTGATGAAATTTATTATTTTTTGGTTAGTCTTTCTTATTAATTTTATACACCGTTAGATGTAAGCTAGATCTGTATTTAAGCGCCTACGATATTTATTTGAATTTAGATTATAACTGGAATTTTGAGAAATAATGTACTTTATTTCGTCGCATTTTGCAAGTTTTTGTTTTGTGGATCGATTTGTCCAATTAACGGTATGTATATGATGAGTTGACAAATTTATAGCAAAGAATTAACGAAGGTGTTGAAAGTTATGTAGCTGGGACTAACGAAATATTAGATCCCACAAAAAGGAGCAGAAAGGGTGGAAGCTTATACTCAATTTCTTCA